CCCATCATATCACAGCAATTAAAAATCCCCCCCATCATATCACAGCAATTAAAAATCCCCCCATCATATCACAGCAATTAAAAATCCCCCCCATCATATCACAGCAATTAAAAATCCCCCCATCATATCACAGCAATTAAAAATCCCCCCCATCGTATCAGAGCAATTATGATGTATGGCCACCACAAAATGAAATGCAGCCAAATGGCAATAAACAAAGATGCAGTCGCAAAAACAAAAGAGTAACAAAGAAGAACAAGCTACTGCTGGGTGCCATGGCTCACGTCTGTAATCCCAGCACTTTTGGAGGCTGAGGTAGGAGGATCTCTTGAGGCCAGGAGTTCAAGACCAGCCTAGGCAGCATGACAAGACCACCATCTTCACAAAACAATTTTTTTTTTTTTGAGACAGAGTTTCACTCTTGTTGCCCAGGCTGAAGTGCAATAGCGCGATCTCAGCTCACCGCAAACTCCGCCTCCTGGGTTCAAGCAATTCTCCTGCCTCAGCCTCCTGAGTAGCTGGGATTTCAGGCATGCAGCACCACACCCAGTTAATTTTGTATTTTTAGTAGAGATGGGGTTTCTCCATGTTGGTCACGCTGGTCTCAAACTCCCGACCTCAGGTGATCCATCTGCCTCAGCCTCCCAAAGTGCTGGGATTACAGGCATGAGCCATCGCACCCGGTCCACAAAATAATTTTTCAAAAAATATTTTAGAAAAGAAAGAAACTTCAAGTGGAAGGAAGGGAGGGAGGGAGTTGTGTAACAGAAAAAATTTGACTGGGCACGGTGATCAACCTGGAGAAACTCCATCTCTACTAAAAGTACAACATTAGCGGGGCATGGTGGTGCAAGCCTGTAATCCCAGCTACTTGGGAGGCTAAGGCAGGAGAATCGCTTGAACCCGGGAGGCGGAGGTTGCCTTGAGTCAAGATCGCACCATTGCACACCAGCCTGGGAAATAAGACCGAAACTCCGTCAAAAAAAAAAAAAAGAAAAGAAAGAAAAAACTCAACCTAGAAAATAATACAAATCAACGAACAAAGAGTTATTCCTCACATTTACTTCACAATACTAGAACAATGTAAGCTTATAAATTCAGTGAAACAAGAACTCAATCAGGTTATGGATTTTTTTTTTTTTTGGAGACAGAGTTTTGCTCTTGTCGCCCAGGCTGGGGTGCAATGGCGAGATCTCGGCTCACTGTAACCTCCACCTCCCAGACTCAAGCAATTCTCGTGCCTCAGCCTCCCAAGTAGCTGGGATTACAAGCACGCACCACCACGCCCAGCTAAATTTTGTATTTTAGTAGAGACAGGGTTTCACTATGTTGCCCAGGCTGGTCTCGAACTCCTGACCTCAAGTGACCCACCCACCTTGGCCTCCCAAAGTGCTGGGATTACAGGTATGAGCCGCCTCACCTGGCCTGTTTTGTTTTGTTTTTGTTTTTTTGGAGACAGGGTCTCCCTAAGTCGCCCAGGCTGGACTGCAGTGATGCAATCTCAGTTCACTGCAACCTCCACCTTCTGGGTTCAAGCAATTCTCCTGCCTCAGTCTCCCAAGTAGCTGGGACTACAGAGGTGCACCACCACACCTGGCTAATTTTTTGTCTTTTAGTAGAGTCGAAGTTACACCATGTTGCCCAGGGTGGTTCTCGAACTCCTGAGCTCAGGCAATCCGCCCGCCTTGGCCTCCCGAAGTGCTGGGATTACAGGCGTGAGGCACCGCGCCCGGCCTCAATCAGGTTATTAAGCAACATAAACAGATGAAAAGAAAGACCACGGCCCTGGGGAACAAACAGAACACCCAGAAAAGATCATTCCAGAACCAATAAATTCAAATGGCAAGAAAAAAGACACAAATGAAAACAATTACTGGTTTAAGAAAATCATGAGTAAATGGCAATAGAAAAGGAAGAAGCCTGGGCAATATGGCAAAACCCCGTCTCTACAAAAAATACAAAAATTAGCCAGGCGTGGTGGCAGCGCCTGTAGTCCCAGCTACTTGGGAGGCGGAGATGGGAGGACTGCTTGAGGCTGCAGTGAGCCAAGACTGCACCACTGCGTTCCAGCCTGGCCGACAGAGTGAGACCCTGTCTCGAAAAAAAAGAAAGAAAGAAAAAAGAAATTATGGCAAAGAAAAACTAATAAATATAGAAGGCAAAGATGGCTTAACTTAACAATATTTGGTGTCCTGAAGACAAGGAAGTAACAAGTAGAATAGGAAACATATTCAGAGATGTAAGGAAATTTCCTTTATGTGGAAAGAATAAAGTCTGCAGATTGAAAGCTATAAAACACTCATTAGAAAGTCAGAATCTTTAGAAAAGCTACTGAGTATAAAGGTGAAGATGAGGATTCTTTATTTATTTTTTATTTATTTATTTACTGAGACAGAGGCTCGCTCTGTCGCCAGGCTGGAGTGCAGTGAAACGATCCCGGCTCACTACAACCTCCTTCACTTTCCAGGTTCAAGCAATTCTCCTGTCTCAGCCTCCCAAGAAATCCCAGCACTGTGGGACACTGAGATGGGTGGGTCACCTGAGGTCAGGAGTTTGAGACCAGCACGCCCGGATAATTTTTGTTTTGTTTTGCTTTTTGAGACAGAGTTTTGCCCTTGTTGGCCAGGCTTAAGTGCAATGGCGCGATCTCGGCTCACTGCAACCTCTGCCTCCTGGGTTCAAGCGATTCTCCTGTCTCAGCCTGGGATTACAGGCATGCACCACTATGCCCAGCTAATTTTGTATCTTTAGTAGAGACAAGGTTTCTCCATGTTGGTCAGGCTAATCTCGAACTCACGACCTCAAGTGATTTGCCCACCTTGGCCTCCCTAAGTGCTGGGATTACAGGTGTCAGCCACCACGACTGGCCACTAAATTTTGTATTTTTAGTAGTGACGGAGTTTCACCATATCATTCAGGGTGGTCTAAACCTCCTGACCTCAGGTAACCCAACCATCTAGGCCTCCCAAAGTGCTGGGAATATAGGCGTGAGCCACCACGTCCAGCCAAAGGTGAGGATTCCTTAAGCAGAGAACATCAAGCTGGGCTCAGATTTCTTGACAGACAAGTTACCACTGAATGTGAGAAGGCAATGAAGCACAAGAGTCAAGAAAACAAATTATTACCTCAAAAATATATTTATCCAAAGTATATTCTACTTTTTGCGGGGGGAGGCGGGGGATGGAGTCTCGCTCTGTTGCCCAGGCTGGAGTGTAGTAGCACTACCTTGGCTCACTGCAGACTCTGCCTCCCAGGTTCAAGTGATTCTCCTGCCTCAGCCTCCCAAGGAGCTGGGATTACAGGTGCCCACTACCACGCCCGGCTAATTTTTGTATTTTTAGTAAAGACAAGGTGTCAGCATGTTGGCCAGGCTGGTCTCAAACTCCTGACCTCAGGTGATCCGCCTGGCTCCGCCTCCCAAAGCACCGGGATTACCAGCATGAGCCACCGCGCCTGGCCCATAGTATATTCTACTTTAAAGGCAAAAGGCAGGCGCTCTCAAACACGAAAGAACCCAGGGAAGACAGCATTTCTGAGTCCTTTCTGAAAACAACTTACAACAAGATCTCATCATCTAAGAGCTGAAAGAAAGAACTCTTCCCAGCCACTTCAGAGGCTGAGGCAGGAGAATCGCTTGAGCCCGGGAGGCCGAGGCTGCAGTGATCTGAAGTCACACCACTGCCCTCCAGCCTGAGTGACAGAGAAAGACTCTGCCTCAAAAAAAGAAAAGAAATCAAGAACTCAACCATGAAAATGACATGGTCAAGGGACTCAACAGGAGAAAACTGATCCAGTTACAGAATGAATATGACATGACTATGGGAAACAGGTCTACAATATCCCATTGTCATTTGTCCACATATATATATAAAATGTAGAAAAGAAGTCTGTTGTAATGTTCGCCTAGTTTTTGTTTTGTTTTGTTTTGTTTTTGAGACAGAGTCTCACTCTGTCGCCCAGGTTATAGCACAGTGGCATGATCTTGGCTCACTGCAATCTCTGTCCCTGGGCTCAGGTGATCCTTACACCTCAGCCACCCAAGTAGCTGGGACTCCAGGTGCACACCACCAGCCTGGCTAATTTTTGTATTTTTTGTAAGAGACAGGATTTTGCCATGTTGGCCAGGACAGTCTTGAACTCCTGGGCTCAAGAGATCTGCCCGCCTCGGCCTCCAAAAGTACTGGAATTATAGGCATGAGCCACTGTGCCCGACCAATATTAATGATTGTTTATTGGTGGTGGCATTCAGGTGATTTTTCTCATTTTATTTTTCTAGTGTTTAAATTTTGTATAATGAATGTGTACCATTTTTTTACAAAAAATCTTAACAATGAACTTTCATTCAAAAGTCTAAAAACAAAAATGCTAATATACTAACAGCAGTTAATTCTGGATGATGGAAATACACAGGATTGCTATTTTCTTCTTTGTACTTTTCTGTATTTTTTAATTTCTAAAACTTAAATTCAGAAAAAACAGTAAACACAAATATTAAATAGTAACTGCCTTTGGTTAATATTTTAAAACTTTAAGGGCCCAGGCGCAGTGGCTCATGTCTGTAATCCCAGCACTTTGGGAGGCCGAGGTGGATGGATCACCTGAGGTCGGGAGTTCGAGATCAGCCTGACCAACAAGGAGAAACCCCGTCTCTACTAAAAATACAAAAATTAGCCGGGCGTGGTGGCACATGCCTGTAATACCAGCTACTCGGGACGCTGAGTCAGGAGAATCACTTGAACCTGGGAGATGGAGTTTGCACTGAGCTGAGATCACGCCACTGCACTCCAGCCTAGGGAACAAGAGCAAAACTCCCATCTCAAAAAAAACCCTTATGGATACTTTTTTGTATTGTCTAGCTTTATTACAATGAGCATGTATTACTTTTATGAAGATATTCCTTCCCTTCAAAAAATGGTGTCTTCTAAGAAGAGCAGATAGAAATAGGACAGGCACGGTGGCTCACACCTGTAATCCCAGCACGTTGGGAGGCTAAGGCATGCGGAACTCTTGAGGGTCAGGAGTTCAAGACCAGCCTGGCCAACATGGTGAACCCTTATCTCTACTAAAAATACAAAATTAGCCACATGTGGTGGCGCATGCTTGAAATTCCAGCTGCTTGGGAGGCTGAGGCAGGAGGATCACTTGAGCCCAGGAGGAGGAGGTTGCAGTGAGCTGAGATCACACCACTGCACTCCAGCCTGGGCAACAGAGTGAGACTCTGTCTCAAAAAGATTTAAAAAAAAAGAACTTTTCAGATGGCATAACATTATTAACAAGAGAGACCAGGTGCAGTGGCTCACGCCTGTCATCCCAGCACGTTGAGACGCCGAGGTGGGAGAATCACTTGAGGCCAGGAGCTCAAGATCAGCCAGGGCACAGGCCAGATACCATCTCTACAAACAATTTAAAACTTAAAAAATTAGCTAAGCATGGTGGCGCAAGCCTGTAGACCCAGCTACTTGGGAGGCTGAGAGGGGAGGATCACTTGAGCCAGGAGGTCAAGGCTGCAGTGACCCATGTTCACGCCACTGCACTCCACCCTGGGCAAAAGAGCAAGACCCTATTTCAAAAACGAAACAAAACAGACAGAGAGACAAAGAGAACAGGGTAGGAAAAGCACAAAATATGCTCTACAGATGTAGTTTGGAAGGGTGGAGGGCTGAGTAAGGGACGTAGTTAAGGATGAGGGAGGAGGGATGGACTGCGGGTACTAGATGCCAGGCTGAGGAACTGACAGCTTGGGGGAAGAAACAACCAAGAAATAAGGGGAAAGGCGTCCCTGTACTTTCTGGCCTTTCTGAATACTAAGATTTTTTGGACAGTGGTTCCCTATAATGTTTTATTCCACATCTTCACTCTTTCTCACCATCTGTAAAAACTTACATGAGTAAAAGTCACCAAATAATTAGAGAAGACACGGAAGAAGTTGT